TATATATATATATATATATATATATATATATATATATATATATATGTGTGTGTGTGTGTGTGTGTGTGTGTGTGTGTTACATGTGCATTAGTTGTTATTGAAATGCTATCATGTATTTCCAACATATATATATATATATATATATATACAACTTAGTAGAGCGTAAATTAACCGCGATTGGCGAAACCACACTTTGTTATACGTGAATGAAAGGATTGTGTGGTTTAGGCTTCCACATACGAACGTACACTTAAGCTCAAACCAAACCTACGACAAGGTATTTGAACAATAATCAGCCACGACCAGCCTTAATATGTAATTCTAATAGACTGCAATCAGTTCGTAAGTTAGAGCGCGTTGAGTATACGTCTCTTTTGCTTCAAGTTTATCGTCTCGCCGTTAAGATGGATCTGAGTGCAGCGGGCTTTTCATTTCTTACTTTACAACTCAAACTCACTTTTTAAACAGGAACGATTTCCATAAGTCACCCCGCATTCCTTTTTTTCGGACTTTACACTATAGTTTAATGATTTTAAAAACGGTCATTAGATATCGTATGTTGTGGTTGTTTAATTAACTACATAAAAATCGTTTTTTTTGTTTTTTTTTTTTATTTTCATTTTTATTTCAATTTTATTACTTGATTTTACATGGGACGTTTTACAAGAAAAAACAAGAAGAAAAAGAAATTCAAATTTTTTTAATGCTTTAAATTCCATTAAAAACTAAATTTTTGAGGTCGTAAACTTTATTTCTTGTTGCATAAATTTAAGAAATTTTCTTTTCGGAATATTTTCCACTTAAACTTTGATTGTCAATTGCATAAGAGAAGAGAGAAAATTGAAATAAAATTTTTAAGTAGAATTTATGGATAGATAGTACTTCAGATTTGTGACAAGTTGTCTTATCTTAAATGCTTACAATTTAAAACAAAAAAAAAAAGCAAAAACTTTAATTGCATAATTTCATTACATAACTTATATATCCGCCGTTCATGCAAGGCAAGCAAAATAATTCTGTCATCTAGTTTGTAACCGCTCGACATCTCGAGCTCTTAAAACACTTTTTTTAATTATTTGATCTTCAAAGCATTTGTTTTCGTTGTGTCTCCCTTAGGGGTTTCGTTATAAAAATACATTTTATGTGACATGCAAGGAGATCATCGTAAATAATCTAAAAACTATTAAGCCTTTTTAAAAATTGTTGAAAATACATATATATTTATTGCAATTACTTTTTCTTCTTTTTTTTTAATTTCATTTTATTCGAAGATTTAATATTTTCTAAGCCGACCAATATTTATAGTTAACAGAGAGCCGAGAATTACAATAAACGAAAAGTATTCACTAAGTTTGTAAAGAGCTTACAAACCATATCAGATATGAGTCCGGAGGTTTTAGAAGACAAGCAACCAGAAACGGATTACAAAAATCGTAGCGTATCTTTGATGCATGTGCAATGTTGACTCCAAAGGCTTTGCTTAAAAAATAGAGACACGTTGCTTCGCTAAACAATATATAAGTCATACTGTTATATGTCATTAGTGATGCTTAATAAGTCATTGGCATTTCAACTATGCATTCCCAATTCATAATTCAAGAAACTTTAGCGTCAAACTATCTTAAAAGAATCAATTTTTTAAGTCTATGTCCCTGTGTACCTTCTTTGCTGATCTCTTTTGCTGATATTTCAACTCACTCATACGTGAATTTATAGCGTCATTAGTAGCGGTTAAGAACGATTGTAAATAGAAGCGTACTACTTGGTCAATTTGAAGTCGTTGTTGTTTGAAGTCGTCGAATGATCCTAAGTGACGGCAAAAGTCTTGGAAATAAAAATTTTGGAAATCAATACCGGGATTAATTTTTATTTTTGAGCTGGCGAACCTCGAAAAAAGAGAGAAATAATTTCTCAATCATACAACACTCAATAATATCGTAGGATAGCATATAAATGTTATCATTATTGAAAAATCGATGGGACTTTTTAAGCAGTAGTATTAATAGTGTTGACTTTCAAACCAAATCTGTCAAAATTTGATAATGTTCCGACCATCAGTTTAAACGCTACACTTGTTTGATTAACGTCAATCGTCATCCTATGAACTTATTCAGTCATGGGTTACCAGTTTCCACGATTAATTACACATCGTACGCGTAATGGATCTCAATGCCATTTCATCTTAAAGCATTAGCCTTTAAGGGTGGGGTAAGTATAGAAAATGCACACATGACGAACGAACACAAGATTAAAGTATACTCGATTAAATCGCCCCTTTGCAAAAGCCGTTCATATATAAGCGACCTAACAATCTTCTATTCTTTATGGCTAAGGTTATTATGATCAACATTGGAGGTTCTCGGCAGACTACTTCTGTGAATTCATTTGCAATGGCAGGAAAAGGTCCTCCTGGTCTTCTAACTACTACTTTGTCCATTCTTTTATCCATGTTCTATTTCTAACAGGATTTGTATTCGTGAAAAGGTTAACAGAAATTCAAAGCCAAGCTTAGGGCACCTTATGCCCATTATGCCGCTTACAATGCATGATCTAAAATTGGATATAAATAATCTAATCTCTAAAATAATCGAAATAATCTAGAGTCCTAGCTGGTCGGCTAACAAATTTTAATGAAAACAAGATTTTTCAGACCTTCTTTTATCTAAGATAGTTGTGAACCAATAACGATTGCTTTCAAAATACGATGCAACCGTACAACACCAGTTACGCATATATAATAATTGCATCATAGTTCTGAAATAGAAGCGTTTTCGTTTTTGCATCTGCGTCTAAATATCAAAAGTTTGCAATCAATGCAAAGTCACTCTGCTATTATTTTGCATATAAGAGCAATCTGTAAGAACGCTTTGGTTTTTTTGCTGTGTTTTATACATTTAATGCTGAACATAGGCTGATTACAGATAGTTTTCGCAGTGTTTTATTAAGTGTTACAAAGTGAATGTAAAAATGATTAAATTTTCATTTCTTTAACGAACACTACTACGATAAAGTAAAACGAAAATCTCAACTACGGTAATTTAAAGAACTTGTAGACAGATAGATACCTACCAGATAATGATAATTGTAACGTTTTTTCTGCACACGCATATACAAACATGTATAAACATACATTCCCGTACAGAAAACATATACATAAACGCATACGTGAATACACATTCACAGATATCCACAAGCTAATGTACGTACATAAAAATTTTAAATTACATATGTTGCACTTAGTAATAAAGCATGCCAAGCATGTCACATCAGACAATAGTCATAAAACCAAACAAATTGTGCATTTAATAGCAATTAGAGAATTTAATTACTAACAGTTTTACTTAATTTTTTCCTTTTTTACTTTAACAATTGTATTCTATTAAAAATGTTATCAAACGTCGTACCGATTCAAGATTGAATGACTCGTATGTGTGCGAGCTACACCAAATAAACTGAAGGTAATAATTTTTGTTATT